ACCAAGGTTGCCTATGACTTTCTTGTTCTAAACTCCAGAGGATACTTTTCAGTGTTTATCATAACGTGGCATCTCTTCAGTGTTTGATCCTGTGAATGACATCAACTTCATAACTACTTTCTTCCTTTGGCTTCTGTGGTTCCATACTCTGTGAGTTTTCTTTCAGAGGCTTACTCTTCATTCTCCTCTTTGGGTTGTCTCTTTCTCTGCCCACCTGCACAGCTTGGTTGTTGGCTACTTCTTTTCTTAATCTGCATACACTCCCTGGTCATCTATCAATTTTCATAATTTCTGTTACTCTACATTCCCTAACTACTCCAAAATCTCCCTGAGCTTTCAACACACATAACTGCACCTTTCAACTGTTGTTGCTGTTAGTTTCTGTCAAGTTGACTTGGACTTATGGTGACCATACATACAACAAACATAAATCAATGTCCACTCCTGCATCTTCCTCATCATCACCTGCCTGCATCTAGGAGTCCATCACTGTGGCTACTGCTACAGGTCTCACATGCCCTGATTGGCCTTCAACTTCACCAAACATTATGCCCTCTTGTAGCAACTGATGTCTCCTGGTGGTGTGTCCAAAGGAAGCCAGTAGAACAATGGTTATCTTATGAGCCATAAGAATTCCATTGGCTAATTTTTGGAACTTGACAGCCAGGCCCTTCTTCCTGGCCTTAGTCTGAAACCTGTCTACGTGGGTGAGCCCTGCTGGCATTTGAAATACCAGTGGCATAGCTTCCAGCATCACACTGACATACAAGCCATCACAGTAAGATAGCTGACAGGCAGGTGGTAGATATATCAACTATAGGCAGTCCCCAGGATAAATACAAGCTCTGTTCCAAATTCTGTAAGAATCTGTAGGTAAGGTGGAATCCGTATTTACGGTTCTTACTTAGACTCACATTAGTGCAAGAAATGGCTTGAAGCCTTACCAAAAATTTGAAAGCTACAAGTGCAGCACTAAAGATGATTGTGATGAAGATAGAAAATTGTTGCGAGTAGACATTGGATCAAGGAGCCCTGGTGGCACCATGGGTTAAGTGCTGGGCAGCCAACCCCAAAGTCACTGACTCAAACCCACCAGCCACTCTACAGGAGAAAGGTGAGACTGTCTGCTCCTGAATCCACTAGAGGGCAGAGGGTTTTTTGGTTCAGGGGTCAGTTTAATCTTTTCAAAGAGAGGGCAAATTTACATGGTATTGGAGGGCAAGTAGGAGTTGTCTGCAAGTCAGCTGTTAACCTCAGAGCACAGAGACTGCCTGTTTGCCTCCCTAAACAAGAATTGAGTAAAACCTTCCAGGGAGATAAAGACCAAGACTTGTCCCTGGCCCTATTCCCTTAGTCAAGTCAGAAAACTTGGGAGTTATCCTCCCCATCCCCCTTAACTATTCTTTGCCACACACTGAATCAAGCACCGAATCCTACACTGTACAGCCTTCAGATCTCAAAACCATCTTCCAATATAGAAGATGCCACTTTGTTTCAGGTTACCAATGCCTTTCAGTTGAATGATTGAAACCATTTCCTAAATTTATCTTCCTACTTCTGAGATCCCTTTAAACCAGGATTTCTCAGGCTTGGCACTTTTGACATTTGTGGCTACTTACTACCTTGTTGTGGCAGGCAGTCCTATGCACTGGACCAAAAATAACATCATGATAAATGGAGAAAAGATTGAAGTTGTCAAAAACTTCATTTTGCTACGATCTACCATCAATACTCATGGAAGAGCAGTCAAGGAACCAAACCATGTATTAGGCAAATCTGCTGCAAAAAAGTCTTTAAAGTACTCTAGAGCAAAGAAATCAGTTTGAGGACTGGGGTATGCCTAACCCACACCTTGTTATTTCCAATAACCTCATATACATGTGAAAGTTGAACAATGGATAAGGAAGACCACTGAAGAATTGATGTATTTGAATTATGATGTTAGAGAAGACTATTAAAAGTACCACATACTGCCAGAAGAATAAACAAACCTGTGTTAGAAAAAGTGCAGCCAAAATGCCCCTTAGAAGCCAGGATGGCCAGATTTTGTCTTTCATACTTTCAGACATAATATCAGGAAGGACCAGTCCCTGGAAAAAGATGGCATGATTGCTAAAGTGAAAAAGAGGAAGCCCCCCAAATAAAATAGATTGGAACATTGGCAGCAGCAATGGGCTTAAATGTTAATGATTGTGAGGATGGCGCCCGACCAGGCAGTGTTTTCATTCCGTTGTGCATGAGATCACTATGAGTTAAAACCGACTCGACAGTTATCTAACAAGAAGAATGCCTGGCCTCTACCCACTAAACGCTAGTAGTTTAAAACCTCCTCACTCCACCATATGGGAATCAAAATGTCTTCGGTCATTTTCAGATAACCCCTAGCCAGCAAAAATCACTACTTTATATTCACAGCATAGCCTAAAAACAAATCTTGCTTAAAGTCCCACAATGGCTTTCCAACGTTAACCCAGGAAAAAATTCCAAACCCCTTAGTTTGGCTTATAACCCCCCCCC